AACTGCATGAAAATGATGTATATTTAGGTAATGTTGATGGGCATGTCAAGCTTTTAAGAACCTAGATATTGTGGGACCCGTGTCAATGTATACAGGGGACACGTCAAATACATATGTTATTTTCTGTTCTTGAATAGTGAGAGCAATAAGAGTTAATAATCATGGGTTAAGAAGAATCTATGGGTCCATTTTTCTTCTTTACTCTCTTTCTTTAAAATCTATATTGGAGAATCTGAACAACAGTGGGGGAACATAAAATTCTCCAGTAATATATATTTTTGTGTAATGAAATAAATAAATTTCAAAAAGTCGCCCATCGACAAAACCATATATCCTTTTCCTTTCAGATCCAAATCCAATAATACCATATATACTTGCTGTGCCCACTACACCACGTGCCCTCCACGTGAAGTCAATATATAGGACAGATAAATTTCTCTTTCGTTGCTTATGTCAGTGTGTGCATGGATGGATTACTGCAGAATACATAGAATCATAGATCATACTAATTATGCAATTTCCTGCAATATTGAGGAATTTGAAAACAAGCAAATGATTGCATATCCACAATTAGTCTAGAGTTACAAACTAACAATGAAGTACATAAGACCATCTCTAGCCCTTAACTCTACTCTAGTGCAGAGTTTTACTCTACGAATATTTGAAAACAAACATTCGTCTCCAACCTTATTTCTACATTTTACTCTATATCATCATCATCAACAACAACAACATAGTCTTTAGTCCCAAGCAAGTCGGGGTAGGCTATAGATGAAACCCAAGAGAAATACAAAAAGACTCGAACCAAAAGGAAGAGATCGAAAAAAAAAAAAAAAAAAAAAACGACAGAGAGAGAGAAAGGAGCAAAAGTCACGGTTCTGGCACGTTGATAGCGAGCCTCCAAGCGCTCCTATCCACCGCTAAATCCTTGGAGATATTCCAATCTTTAAGGTCTCTCTTAACCGACTCTTCCCAAGTGAGTTTAGGCCAACCTCTACCTCTCTTAACATCCTCGACCTTTACTCTATATCAAATATATTATTTTTTTATTCATTTTTTATTTCAAATAAATTAGTATATATATGTATATTTCATCTTATATAAATGTTTATTACCCAAATAATAAAAATATATTTAGTATAAAAAATACCTCACACAAAGTTGTAATACGTAAATAAAGAAAAAATACAAAATTATTTAGCATAATAAATATATTACAAAAAGTTATAAATTATTTAACATAAAAAATACATTACACAAAGTTATAAATTAGTTAGCATAAAAAATACATTACACAAAGTTATTTAGCATAAAAAATACATTTATTAATACACATTATACATAAATTTATCATTAATATTACATTATAATACATATATTACAATACAAAAAAAAAAAAAAATGTAGAGATGCTACAGTGTTGCGCCAGATGTGGCGCAACACTGTTGCAATCTCTAAAATAGCGCAAATATCTAGTGCGGGGTTGGAGTGCATTTTAGCGCTACAACAGCGCAAAAAGAGAGATAGAGCAGCGCTGGGCTTGCTCTAAGTGACTGAGGATGATGTAGAAACTGAACCACCCAAAAAGTAAATTATAACAAATGAAAAAATAAATAAATAAATAAATAAAAAATTGAACATTAATTTGAGAAAGTACATATAAAGATTTGTTATGGTGGGTATACTTTCAGAATCATGCATCCCCACAACTACAGGATCTTGATGATAAGAGGGCAGTAAGAATCAAGAATTATATATTGTGTAGCAATCAGTAAATCAGTGTAAAGTACATTCCCAAGAGATATCAAGAGGACCACAGCAAACAAGAGCAGGATGCTGCTTCAGTTGTGGATAATGCACATATAGCCTATGTTGTGAAGATTAGTGTTGTTGTTGCTCACATGTCGTCACATGTACAGTGTGTGGTGTAATGGTCCTTCCTCATCCAATTACACCCAAGTTTGGGGACCTGTCTTTATCCAATCAATCATGCCCCATTCCCAATTGGCTTTTTTTTTTTTCAGCACAAGTCTAGACACAGCCACAATATGCATATATATTAGTTATTATGAGACGTGAATGCATTTTACGCACTTATGGTATAAGATACATGCTTTAATGAGCAGTTGTTTCAGTCACTTGGGTAGTTGGAGCATATCTTTGGGATAACTCCAATTATTATTATTTTGAGTGAGCTCCTAAAGATTGAAGGTCTAGCACCACCCTCAAAAATGGGATAGATAAAATGGCATGCCGGATGATGATTAGAGCAACAGTTAAATCTCTGTTAGCACAAAGAGATAAAGCATTATTTTGAGTGAGCTCCTAAAGATTGAAGGTCTAGCACCACCCTCAAAAATGGGATAGATAAAATGGCATGCCGGATGATGATTAGAGCAACAGTTAAATCTCTGTTAGCACAAAGAGATAAAGCAGCTTCTAAAGGTTAATTAGGTTTCTCTCTCTCTCTCTCTCTTCTAAAAATGAATTTAACTGTTATCTCAGAATATTATACCAACAAAAGGTTTCAGTGTTATCTCAGAATATTATACCAACAAAAGCACGATGCTGGTGGGCAAAATTCCCACATTCCGCATTAGCTTTTTACCACAAAGACTGTTTTTTTGGTACAAGAATCAAATAATAAAGTATTGCCCGACTATGATGCTCCCCCACCATCCCAAAACAAAAATTACATTGTAAAGTGATTAAATTATCTAACCCCTCCTTGCTTATCATACAAAGTATTACTATCCAGCAGCACACAAAATGCACATATTCTCTCATGTCGCTACCATCAAAGTTAACATAATCTTTTTTCTCGTAAATGGGCCTTTATTCGATTTCGTAGTCATTACAAAATATTTTATTTTGATATAAACTATCCTTAGGTACCAAGAAAGTGCAGATAAGTTTCTGCCATGCATGAATAATGGCAAAGGGAATATATAGCATATAATACTTTTTGAATTTTAAAAGAATATATGCCGAAACGGCAATTAAAACGTAAAGCCTTCCATTATATTTGTGTGTCACACAATAGTTTGCTTGTGCTTTCCTAGTATACATTGCACACGGCGTAGTTAAATATTGACTAATTAATGGAACAATTCTAGAAAAGAGTTGTTTCCTGGGGAAGCTTTTAGGAATATATCCAGAACAATCATTGTGTGTGCAATAAGCCTAACTTCTAAGATTAATTATCTGTAATGGCCTAATTGCCCACCAAAAATTCTTTCATAGATCAAGGGGAATATTAGGATGCGTGAAAAGGAGATGCATAGAACCTAAATAAGAAAAAAAAATGATGAATTCGAAACTCATATTATATACGGATTAAAGCAAGATTCTAGTGACTCCCATTATAGTGTAATGCTGTAAATGTTTGTGACAACAGCATACATGAATAATGAAAACAGGAAAAATAANATAGATGTAAAAATGTCACTAATATTATTTTATCTGAGAACCATGGATATTTAAAGATGTTAGGCCAACAATATCTGGGCTCTTAAGCTGGTCCAGCTGTTTTTTACCGCGCCGAATTAAATACTCAATATAGAGAAAGTTTTTGCGATCGACCTGAGTGGAATTATGGCGAAACTCTGCTGACACGATCAATTCAATTTTGGTACGTTCTTCGGGTGATTTAGTGCGTGCTGCTCGCAAAAACCCTCTATACAGAGCAAGCACTTGTTTTTGCATTCCTGAGAGCCGTGGGTTGCCCGATGCTCCCATTTTTGCTTCTTCTCGAGCTCTTTTCAAGCTGTGACTGACGAAAAAATTCTGGAGCGTGAACAGTGAACAAGCACTGTACCAAAAAAAGAAGAAGTAAAAAAAATGTTATTACAACTAATCGCAATAATACAATCAAATTACATAAAATAGAAAATAATTTGCTCCTGTAAATTCTTTTCCACAATGATGTTCAACATATAACTCGAACTAGATTACTATTAAACAGCAGTAGCTGACACTGGGCCGACTTTCTCGACTTTGCAAACAGAAATGCCTGAATCAGGCACTCAACTGACCAGACACGTAGGTCGCGAATAATAAGCTAGCAATTTAACCATTTTGCTTTTTNAAACAGTATTCAAGAGCGATGCATATCAGCATATATGATAAAATTGCTGTATAAATGGTTGTCTCATAAAACAGTATTCAAGGGCCGATCCCAATCGAAACCGCACCTCAATTCAAGCTAGAAGCCTAGAACTTTACAAGTACATAAGAAGTTTCTGTACGCGAACTTAAACTAGATTTCCTCAAATGGCGTCGAAACACAAGACGCCAAATCCAATGAACAGCTAAAACCAAAATATTCAAATCATTTAAGAGGGAAACTTCTGTAAAATCGACCAAACTAACAAATTCCTTAATTTCAAAAAAAAAAAAAAATNGCGATGCATATCAGCATATATGATAAAATTGCTGTATAAATGGTTGTCTCATAAAACAGTATTCAAGGGCCGATCCCAATCGAAACCGCACCTCAATTCAAGCTAGAAGCCTAGAACTTTACAAGTACATAAGAAGTTTCTGTACGCGAACTTAAACTAGATTTCCTCAAATGGCGTCGAAACACAAGACGCCAAATCCAATGAACAGCTAAAACCAAAATATTCAAATCATTTAAGAGGGAAACTTCTGTAAAATCGACCAAACTAACAAATTCCTTAATTTCAAAAAAAAAAAAAAATCCTTAATCATTGCTCAAAATTCAGAAAACCCACTTCATTTTTAGTCACATTGGACTCATTTCATTGTGTGCCGAGTTATACGTATCTGATATCATAAGAGGAACAATTTTTGCAGCGCAGTTAAGAAATCGGTTCGCTTATCCATTGCCAACCTGCACGGAACTAGCAGGCTTGCATCATAATATAATTTTCAACTTGGAAAATCTAATGCCCTTCGAAATAATCACTCATTTGCAATTATAACGGAATAACGCACCCCAAAAGGTCTAAATTGCAGTAACGCAATTAAGTAACAGAGGCCAAAGCACAGATAATAAACAGCAGCAAATCGTACAACCCCAAAGGCAACATGAAACTAAAACTTAGCAGGGCTATTTTAAGAACAAAATAGAATTAAACACCCTCTCAGAAGTAAAAGCAGCCAAAAAATAAAAATAATAATAAATAATCTTTAAAGTGAAAATGTACAATATGCGTATGCAGCGGCGGCTCTCAGCTTGGAAATTCGACAGCGGCGAGAAAAAATCCCAATATTCCGACGGTGGACCTGCTGATCGTCACCCAGCGTCAAATTCCTGGATGGATTTTGTAAGGTTTGGCGAAATATAATGAAATTCCTAGCTGAGTTCGGAGTTAGGTTTGTTTTTATTTTGAGCGTGAAATAATTATTAAATTATAGAATAAAAACAAAAATACCACAATCGTTTTTAAAAAGAAAAAAGATGTGTCTTAAATAAAATTTATTTTGTTGATAACAATTTACGAGGTATTAAAATTTGAATGATGATTACTTTCATTTTACCATACCACCACAAATTTATTTTAAAAAAGAAAATCGTAGTTGGGTTTAAATTTGTTGAAAAATACTATATATTTATATTGTATCTACCACCACATTTTTATATTATGCCTCGTGCCCACGGTTAAAGTACATGATATTATGACTCGACATGTATTTCCCCCACCACGCCTTACTAGAAGGAGAACAAAACCAAAGAAAGATGAAGTTACGTAGACCAAAATTTGTTTGCTCATCTCCATAATTCAAGAGGTGTATGACGTCATATACTCAATGAACAAAGAGGTATATTCTGCAATCAATCCTAAAAAGACGTCAAATATTCAATGAACAACTTTACATCTTGGATGTCTATAGCCGACCATCGAGGGCGGGAAGCTGTGACGACTTAGATGCAGGCGGAAAAAGCGAAGAAAAATAGTATGCGGTGTGCACGGGAAGAGAAGAAATTGAGTGAAGTGATTTTTAAAGTTTGGATCATACTAAGTTTTGTAGGTGTTTAACTTGGGTTATGCATAAAACTTCATATATATCAACTCGCTTGAGTCTCACAACTTCAATGCTTGGTTGCAACAAGTTTGCTCTTTGAAAAAAGGTTCAGTTTTAGAGGCAATGATCAAACTCTCGACTTATATCCTTTGGTAGCTTTAGAAAGCTAAAAACCTTTGGGTCTTTCAGAATTTATGGATACTAGAGAAGACTATTGTTGATTTTGCTTTAAGAGATTGGAATGAATTTAAGTGGTTGTAATTTGCTCTGGTGTTTCTTTCTTCTCAGTAACTAAAAACTTTGGTTATGGTAGAAAGAAAAATACTTCTATCATGTCGAAAAAAAACCCTTAATATGAAAGGGGTGGGTGGATGATATGCCCAATCAGTGAAACGGGATGGATTGGATCAAATTACCACACCTGTGGATGCTCAATAATTCTCATTTGTCACTGCCATTCTCTCTGAAATGAAAGAAGACAATGGAAAAGTATATGGAGAATAAGAAAGAAAGAGAATATCATTACAAGAAGATTGTTTTTTTTTTTTTTCTTTTTCCGGATAAATATGGTGCACCATGTCAATTTTTAATTTAACATGGTGGAAATTATGTATCATCTATCTATGAATTTTATTTGGTATAAATCATGGCATCCTAGCTACTCGATATCTTTCACAGCATCCTGCATCATCATCAAAACCAACAATCAGGTATCATATTAAGTCATCAACACACACACACACACAAATACACACGAGAGCTGGCAATCGACATCCACAGTCAGCAGTTGAGCCCAGCGCAAAAGGAGAGCCTTGGCTCATATGCTCTAAGACCGGACAAACACAAGCATATTCGGTCGGGCCCGTTATCCCCATTGCCCAATTGGCTCAACATGCTGACTTGAAAATATTACTTTCCTTATATATGGGTTAGGATTTGGCATTCAATTGATGTGCTCGACTGCATTCGACCCAGCATGTCCCATTGCTAGCTCTCTCTCTCTCTCTCTCTCTCTCTCTCTCTCTCACACACACACACACACACACACACACACACGAAAGCAAGAACCGAGCAATTAGATTACCTTGGCTAGCCGAGTCACGTAGGTTGCAGCAAACACGGTTGCTAATAAACCTATTCCCAGAGTCAAAAGCTGCTGACCATTGCCTCCACTCAACCCTATTTCAGATTCCTCTTGCTGGGTATAATCCACAACCAACCAAAACACGGGCTTTATATATATAGGTGGATCGACTAAAATAGTTGCAATTCTTGAGCATAAGATCGAATTCAGCCTAATTGCCACATGCAAATTCAGTATCTTTGCAAGAGAACCTTAAAATTTTCATGTTAATGTGCCATGTGTGACTCAATCAATGAAATTATCTAGTCTCTCTCAATCTTTTTTTTTTTTTTATTAATCATATTTATGGGTAAATGTTGAATCATCCGCCGAGAAACAATGTATAATTATTTCCATTTAAAGGGAGGTGATTATTATTTGTGGTAATAAGAGATCAACATTGTAATTCAGAGATGAACAAGAGAAACTCACAATTATAGCCCGGCCAAAAGCACCAGCACTTACGTAAGCCCATGATCCTGGAAGCATGCCTAACCAACTGCAAGATCGAAATTCAGGTGTTTTAAAAGCATTCAATTGCTAATAAGCTAGAAACTAATTCAATTTTATGGAAAATGTACCATCCTGTAAATTATAACAACTTCTACTAGGTGTAGTATAAGGTTCTACATCATCAATAAAATTTAGCAACACCAATAATAAGTGTAGATTTACTTGTAG